GTGGGTGACGCAAAAAAAAAAACCAAAAAAACCACAAACCAAAACACAAATGAACAGTTTTAGTTGTACACAAAACTGTTTCGTTTCTTTAGAACCCTGTTCAAATCAAGACTTGAGTTTCTGAGGAGGGAATCTTAGATCCCAGACCCTTCCCTTCTCCTCTCCTCTCGCAAAGAAATACTATTTCTGTGGCCTAGAACAGTACTTTAAAAACAGCAGTTATTAAAGACACAGTTGTGATACATCGTTTAACTCCCCCTCACCCACAAAAGGGGTATCCTAGCAAGTGGTCCAGTAGAAATCTTGAAGTTTCTTTATGATAAATTAAATCTATAAAATGAGGAATACCTTCTGTCACATTCCCAACAAGAATTACAGCCACACTCTGTGGTGCATTTGTTCAATTGTCTATTGCTCCTTCTGGTGGAGGTTCTGCACAGCTCCATCGCCAGTTCAGTTCTGGTCCTACCAATCAAAAGTAGAGATTTTTCTCCTTTCTCTTCAGCTTGTCTCTGGTTAACAAACAGCAGAAGCACTGAGGGCCATAATTCCCCGGGACAGGAACAGGCCAGTAATGTCTGAAGAAACACCAGTCGTCTTTTTCTTAGATGAGGCAGATTTATGCCAAGAGCAGTTTTTTGTGTCCTGTTGGTATCACGGGCACCTACACCTCTGTGGAAAAGAGAATGCTTTGCCTCTTGCTGTCTGGAGTAGGGATAGTCTCTAGCTGCAGAAAGTACAGGAGAACTTGAACCTGGAAAGACAAAGAAAGAGGTAATAATAAAGCCCTTTTAACTCATTCTCATCCTGGCTATTCGAGAGTTGGCAGACATGCCTACAGCTCTCTCCACAGGAACATCTTGCAGTTATCTGTTTGTTTTAATGCCATGTATAACAGCAGGAATATTAAAACTTGCAGTGCTTCAGAAACTCTTTGCAGCTTCCAGGACATAAGAATGGTGTAGGTGTTTCACTGCACTGAAAAAATCTGATCTATAATTTGCCATTACTCAGTAAAGAAAGTACAAATCAGCCTGACCAGCTAAACACAGCCTCTATGTTTGAATTCTCTGCATCACCTTCAAAACGCAGCAGTAGCCACAGAAATCTGAATTTAGCAAAGAATTTTGTTATGCATCAGTGAAGGTGGTTTAAGTGTTGAGCAGCACTGCATAAAAAACATCGACAGTCCTCTTATCCCAGGCTAGCAGTATGGCACTGTGAGACAGCTCTCAAAAAATCTTGCTGTGCACAAACATGAAACATACGGATTGAGTGTATGCTGCCATTTTTTCATGAAAAGCTGTATCAGTGCAGATGCAAGCCAAACTGCTTGAAGAAACACGGTTCTGCTGTCTAAAATGCCTGTGTAAGGGTGAAAGTTGTTTATGTTTCTCAAAAAAACCCCAAACTGTCATGAACACAGACAAGGGTGGCGGGACCAGGCCTCGCTAGAGGGCTGCAGTTTCCCAGGTACTGCCTTCACAAGATTCAAGCGTGCATTCAGGATTTTACCTGGGACATGACTTCCAGTGACCAACTGTCAGTCATCGTGATAGGCTGGGTTGGGTTAGCAGGAATTTTACTGTCCTTCTCTGAAGGTCTGAGCAGCGTTGGTCCAAAGACAGTCGCAAGATTATGCAGGGACATCTTGTTAATGCTTTCTCTCTCAGCAACCCTGGAAGAAGAAACAATGAACAAGGCAGATCTTTATAAATATCCGTGTTCGGAAGTCACCTTGAGTAAGAAACCATCTTTATTCTTTTTGTGAAAAGTTTTAGATACATTCAATCAACCACTCTCTCCATATGTGCCTAAATGAACCTTATGTACAGGCAATACCTTGATATGACACACCACAGTCTTGGTGCACTCTACAGACATGGCTTAAACTTGGGAAAGGGAGAGGAATGTTTATCATCCCAGTTTCATGAATAAGAAACTGAGGCACAAAGGTTAAAAAATTTACCCAAGGGCAGAAAAGACTGCAGGAGAAACCAAAGTAAAACCCAGATATCCTGGATTTTAATCCTGAACCATCGTCACAGGATTATCTTTCATCTTTACAGTGACAGTCTCTGGTATGTAACAAAATACATATGTAAATTAACACATTGTGCATGTATTAAGCAAGCTTATTGCATTAATATCAAACACATGGAAATACTTTCACAGTTACAACCATATTTACAAAGACATAGACAAGATCAGAAAGACTAGTCTAAGCAGGGAACTGACAACTCCAGTTAGCAGTAGTGCAAAGCTGGAATTCTAAAAAATGTATGATGTTAGACTGCAGATGCCTTTTCAGACAGGGTTCACAAGTCTTTAAACAAGGCTAAAGCTTCACTGTTTGTACTAAAACCTTTCCCCGTCTTTGTATCCAGAGGCAGGTGCAATTTTGCAGTGATATTGTGCCAGGAATTTGCATTTGCACTAAATAAGCCCTGAGACTTTTGTTACCACTTTCCTTCAGTTCTAATCCTTTCAACATTAGTGGGAATGGAATTCAGGATTTGGTGCCTCCCTAAGTGAGTATGAGACAACAGTTCATAGAATCATAGAATGGTTTGGGTTGGAAGGGACCTTAAAGATCATCCAGTTCCAACCCCCCCTGCCATCAGCAGGGCCATCTTCCACTAGACCAGGTTGCTCAGAGCTCCATCCAACCTGGCCTTGAACACTGCCAGGGAGGGGGCAGACACAGCTTCTCTGGGCAACCTGGGCCAGGGCCTCACCACCCTCATGGGGAAGAATTTCTTCCTAATATCTAATCTAAATCTGCCCTCTTTTAGTTTACAGCCATTCCCCCTTGTCCTATCACTACACACCCTTGTGAAAAGCCCCTCTCCATCCTTCCTGTAGGCCCCTTCAGGTACTGGAAGGCTGCTAGAAGGTCACCCTGGAGCCTTCTCCAGTTATCTGATGAGCACTCACAGCAAATCAGCAAATGCTTCTTCATTTGTGTGATTCAGCATGAATTCAAGGAAAAGACTCCTCTCTTCAAAATAATGACACTTTACACATTAAATACATGTCTAAATGATCCACATATTACCTTTTTAAATGGTCCAAAAGGAAAAGGAATGTCACAAGATTGGGTTCTGGAAGCGATAACAATAGATTCAACATACAGCTTTCCTTTGCAACAGGGTCTGAAAGTGCTACAAGACAGAAAATAACAAAACATCACCATAGGCAGCGAACGACATTGGACTGACTGTGTCATTTCCCAAACCCACAAAGATGATGGTCCGGAATGGACTGCAGTTACATCATCAACTGGAAGGTCATAGTTGCACTTCAGTGCCCCACAGGATCTCCTTCCTATATTTCATAGATACACAGAGAATCCTTTTCTCTCGAGCAGTTCAAGTGCTTTCAGAGTTTCAACCATTACGTTGTTTTTCCCCCGCATCAAGACAAGGCAAGTCATAGTCCCCCACCAAAGAGGGCTGCCCTGGAGGACTGAATGGGGCAAACAGCAAGCACAGCCTCCACAAGTAGGCTGTCATGCTGTACGTAACCTGTCCTTCAGAAACCTGGACATTTTCGACTTACAGAAAAGCATGGCAATTGCCCGTACTCAAGCTCATGGGAGGAAGTCATTCCAAGGCTCATTTCTGAGCTCCGTTTCACTTCCCTAAGAGCTTGTTCCAGGCTTCTGTCCAACATTATAAATATGGGTTTCATATTGCTGTAGGAGCAGCCTCCTACACAATAGTTTCAGTTACCCAGGGCTATTTCTGCTACTACCTACCAATGCCCTCGGCAAAGTTGGGGTACAGTTCATCTGTAAAGAGGGGTTCAGGCAGTTCCCGGAAGTAGAGTTTCAAGGTGCCTGCGATGGCATTGACATCCATCTCGCTCATCATCACTGACACGTCTTTGTTATCTGAAAGAAGGAAGAGGGGAAGCAGGGTAAAGCAGCTGCTGGCCTTGCATTCATTCTTTTTCTTGCTTTGGCTCTCTTTGTTTATCCTTTGTCTTTGCCCAAATCGCTGAGAGTTTTCCTGTTTACATTTCTCCAGAATAAATGAGCTACCTTCTGACAATGTAGAAGTGCTCCACAAATGGCTGCAAACAGTTTATAGCTTTAAAGCAAGCAGAGGGAACCTCACACTACCCAAGGTTAGTTATGCTGTGCCAGTGACCTCAGCCTGATCTGGAACAAGTCCTGCTTGACTGTATTTGTATGCATTTCAACTTCTGTTAGTAACAAGAGTTGTTATTCCAATTCCCTGCCTCTAACAGCTTAGAATAAGAGACTGAGCCTGTTTGACTCCCCAGGAAGTGTAGCTAAAGTACACAGGCAATTCAGGGCTCACATTTCAGTTTTGTTACCATTAAGAACAACAAACCCACCCCCTTCCCGTAAAACAAACAGACCAACCAGCAGAGCCAGCGCTGGTTTCACGAAGCTTAGTGTCAAACAGCATTTAATACAAATGAAAAAAGTTAGTTTTCAAAACATGAAACACCTTGACTTGCACTAGTGAAGATTCGTAAATCAATGTGTTTGGTAGCTTAGAGGATTTGAAAAGAAAGCACAAGAAGGAAGAAATTTCACAAAATAAGTGAAGAAAAAGTGCAGGGAGGGTGAATTTGGGCACCTGGCACAGGCCTCATGACTGCTTGCATCAAAACAGAGCTCGAGTGGGGCTTGAGCAATCCTTGGACCATCACGTGGAGACTGGAAGTAGGGCAGAATTTCACCTTTTGTACCTCAGCATTTTGGAGGGGTTTCATCTGCCTGACCTCGGATGCCTTTTGGGACATACGTGCCATTCTTTTAAATGCAGCACCAGTAAGGAGCCCTTTTCTACTCAAGATCAAAGAAAGCTTTAAAAAAAATAATCCAATTTTACAACCTGTGCATATCAATCTAGACATAGAGTTAAGAAGAGAACTCTGGCCACCCAACTCCAGCTTCGTGAACACCCTTCCTAGTCAACCTTAGAAAGTGTTTTTTGCTGGATTCCTTTCACAAAACATTCTTAATTTCAAAGACTTCCATTAATTTAGAGACCTCAAAACAGCAAGGAAATTACCACTTTTGATTGCTGCCACTTCCCCTGAGGAAGGTGTCTGCCATTTACAAAGATTTGGCAAGGCAGGCACTCCCACCATTTCTTGTCTGCTGAGAGGAATAACAAATGCATTATTTGGTATGAGGATCCATCCCGTTGCATGTCTTGGGTTATATCTGTAGCTGAAGAACATTAATAAAACATGCAGCCAGGGTTAAAATGATTCTCCTTGCACGAGAATCTCTACCTCTTAATGCTTCTTGGGGAACATAAGATTAATAATAGCACAGCCACCCAACATGAAGCTCACACAGGTTCTCACGGTGCAAAAAAGCATCAGACAAATACTTACTGACATCAAAGGCAGCTTTCAGAGCTTGGATGTCGGTTGCAACCCCAGAGACACGGTAGATGCCCACCTCCTCCATTCCACGCCGCTCTATCTCCTCCACACACTGGCGCACTATGTAAGGCACCTTCGATCTCTCTCTCCTTAAGAAAGCCAGACAGATGAGTTCAGTACAGCCCATGGCCTCAATACCTGTCACCCCAGTGATGGCTAAAATCACCCCACCATTCTGTGCAAACCTCTTCTGGAAAATGGGGTGGGGGAAAGTCTGAGTAGGCCATTAAGACCAAGCTGAAAAACTCCTTTTAAAACTGGAGCATGTTTTCCGAGTGTCTCAGCCTGGATTTGGCTGTTCTGCAGCTGCACTGAGCACTCAGGCTTCCGGCCAGGTCCCAGCGCCCCTAGAGCCTGCGACTTTGTGCAGGTAATCAGAGGATTCCCAAACAGACCTTGGATACATAGCAACACTCTTGATTTCTAATTAACGCAATTCCATAGGGAGGAAATACCACACTTCCCAAACTATCTAACAGAACAAACAGGTTTCTTCTGGCAAATGATTCATGACAAAAGATCAGGGGTTAAAATAATACAACAGGATCCAAAGAACTTGAACATTTCCGATTATGGAAAGGAAACATTGCTGTTTAGTGGCTCTGGAAATTTGTGACCAAGTCAGCTAACTACAGAGTAACAGGACAAGGGGTATTTCAGGAACTCACAAAAGTGATATGCTGTAAGTAAACACCCTGGGCTTCAAAGCCTGTGTGCATGCTGCTTTTTTTCCCCTGCAAAAAACAAAGCTCAGAGAATGTACAGCATCTCCTTTCTGCAGCCACAGCTATCTACACTACTGCCCACATGGAGCAGGCTGGACTGACAAATCCTTCGGTGGGCTAAAGACAGGCATGACCCACCAGCCAGGCGACTTTCTAAAACCAGAATAGGGAGAAACGTGACCCCTCAGCTCACTTGGTGACAATAGCGATCTTGACCCCAAAAACCCCAGTCTGCTTCCGGGACGGCATCCTTTTCAGGCTAAACTCCCGACTGGTAAACTTCACTGACAGCTTCACTTCAACCTGAATAAAAGAGAACAGCTGTTACTTTTCAAGTATGTTTTCTTTCCTATGCTGCAATGAAAAGCAAAGAAATAAAGCACACAAAAGGCACAGAATCAGTGCTGACTTCTGTTTTCCATACTTACTCCATTCATCGAGATGACTGTGCGTTGCCAATCTTTGTCCTGCAGCGCCTGTGGGTCCAGCTGAAAAACATGGACGTTACCCATGAGCTAGGAACAGACTTCAGAGAAATCAGCTAGCCTGAAAGGCTTCTGTTAGTGAGCAAAGCGCTAGCACTTTCAACATGTTATTTCTTTTCCATAGGAAAAAACCCATTCCAAGGTTTCCCAGGTTTTGGGTAATAGGACACTCAAATATCGTACGGTGCTCTAAGCAGGGCTGATGAGGACTCACGCACATGGAAAATGCAGCAACGTGTGTGCAGTGTCTGCTCAACAACAAAAGGAACCTCAGCCAGCAAAATCAATTTCTGAAAGCCAATAACCTCAGCCTTCACAGAAAGAGAGGCTGTATTCATTGTTGTAGCAGAACAGACACACTACCAGACAGCCAAACTTGTCCCACCCCACAGAGCCAGGAGTCAGAAAAGGGGAGGAGAGATTTCTGAAATAACTCTGATTTGAAATAGAGGAAACTGTCTCCCTCTGCAGTTTTCCAAAGACAGGTGAGGTTGGACGAGCGTGAAAATACTGCAGTGAAATAAAAAGCCAGGCTGGAGTACTTCGTAGCTCTTGGCTACGGAGCTAACAGCTTCCAAGAAGGACTATATTCCACGGAATTCGAAAGACACAATGACCCTAACAGTGAGATCAAGGAAGGGAAATATGAAGTGATCCACACAGAGACAAGCAACTCTAAACAAACCAAACCTCTGTCAGGATCTGACAGAGGAGAAATGGAGAAAATCAGCCCAGAAATCATGGGAAGTTGTCCTTCTTCAACCTGCCTATTCCTTTTCATTTCTAAGGCAGGAAAAACACCTGGCCCTGCTACTGCAAGAATTCATTAAGCAGAAACAAGTTCTCATGCAAAGCCCTGATCTCCCATTTTCAGCTTTGCTTGATCTCTTTTGAGTGGGCAGTTGTCAGGCTGGGGAGCAGCTGACAAGTACTGAAACATCAGCCAGAAATTTCAGTACTGCCTGGGAGAGTCCAAACACATCTGACCAGCTGAAGAGCGGCACTTGGCTCAAGCTACGCTGGCAAGAGAGAAGAGAGCTGTCTGCATGGGGACGTCTATCAGCTGTCAGAACCAGCCAGAGCAAGTGGACTTCGGTGTGTCCCGAGATGGTTTCGTAACACCTGGCTCTTGAACACTGAGATGCAGTAAGACCAGGAGGAGGCAACTGCACTAGACTCTGTGTTTTGAGCTTTCTGCCGTCAGCAAACAAAAAGACCCTCTAGTGACACTCAGTAACTGGAGCTGTTTCTGCAGAACAGCTCCTCCCTCTCGCAGAACCCCATGCGAAAGCAGAATTCTCCGATAGGCAGAGGTAAGCGTCGAAACCATGGCAGCTGCAGTATATTCTGGGAGATCTTAGATGCAATCATGCTCACGCTGTCTTTCAAATCATCAACAAACGAGCCCAATGCTGCCGACAGCTACAGGAAGTCCCCCCACCCCCTTCCCCACTCTCCAAAAGACACCCAGCAGAGAGTAAAGTTTCTCCCTGCTTGCTCGCGCTGCAAAGACCCCAAGAAGCAATGGACAAGCAAGTCAGGCCAACCTTATCTCTGCGCACTTTGTTACGGACATGAGCCCACAGCGGGACGCTGCCAGCACACACATGCTTTCCTGCCGAATTGGACTGGTTCCTGTAGGTGCAGCTCTGGCAGAAATTCCTGAAGACCCCTTGTAAGGAATAGTCAGTAACCAGTAGCTCCCACATTTTGGGGCTGCACAAAGGTCCAGGAGGCCAGTGGGCCGCAGCGCTTAGCTCCACTGCTTCAGCAAACCCCAGTAACAGACTGCTTGCCAAGAGGGTTTGCTTATAACTCTGGTGGAACAGATCCGCCCCCGCCTGTGCAGCTGGCCAAGGTCCCTACGAGCTGGCCAGAATCTAGGCTGCTCTTCCCTGAATTTCCGTGCTGGAAGTTCAGTTTCTTTCAACAGCTACATTCTTTCCCAGAATCAAGAGGAAACCATTTCTGAAGTGTCTGGTTTCCTATGAAGGGCAACCATGCTCACCATTCCTGAAAGCTTAACCTCCAGCTGCCTAAATAGTTATCTCGTTAAGCTGCCAAAATGGCCCTGCCGATAGACACAGCCACAGTCGATCCTCCAGCTCAGAAGCAGTTTTCCATATGCTTTTAGAATGGAGTTACTGAGAGTGTATTATTTATAGCAGAGAGAGACTGCTTAAGGCTGAAGGGGAAAGTGGGTTTTGAATATTTGCCAAAAAAGCTAAAAGGAAGAGACCAGCAGGGTCCAGTTACAGTTTATTTAAGCTAACAGGTATTGCTGGTTATGTCTCAGTGATGACCAAGGAACTCCTACCGCTGTACAAAACAAAAGCAAGTAAATAGCTGTTAAAAAGTACGAGCCGAAGTCTGTCGTGCTCCGACCCACGAGTGAATACCAAACGGCTGCAAAGGACTAGCAAAAGCAGCGTGCTGGAGCTGAGAGTTCACAGGGGCTCTTCCTTGCTGGGTAACTACTGGAGCTAAGCAAGGACCGCAAGTGCACCTGCTGCTACCCCCTGCTCCCTCCTCTCCGAAACCCACCTGCTGTCCAGCTCCAGTGGAGAAGAGCTTGGATGGAATGGAGACAGCTAGGGAGAACCAGCAGCAGGGCATGGGTCTGCCTGACCCAAGCCAACCCTGCATCGATCACGGGCAGTAGCAACAGCAATAAAAAAAAAAAAATAATAATCCACTCAAGGTGCTTTTTAAAGAACAAAGCGAAATGATGGAAGCTAATAAAAGAGCAAAGCTTGAATAAGCTCTCAGCAACACTGAGGGAGACAGGAAGATCAGGTCACACCATCTGATAAAGTCACCGTAGGAAATAACAGAGTCGACAGGAAACCAAGAACGTCATTTAGACTTGGAGCAAGCTGTCAGTCCTGGACCCTGCAGACGACTGACCTTCTAAGGCCAGTAAGAGCAACACAGGGCAAGGGCAGCTGGAGCAGACAGGTTACGAAGCCGACCGAAGACAGAGTTAGCGAGTGTGATGCTCCAGCACTGAGAGGGCCTGTGACAAACGGGCTCATACTGTCTTCTGGCCTGATTTGGAGATCAATGGCCTGGAAGAAGGAACACTGAGTAGAAGAATGCAATCTACAGACAGCGTGCGAAAGGAGGCTGCTCCGAGCGAGCGAGCGAGCACACAGGGCTTGCTCTGCCAGCTCAGGCAGGGGGAGGCACTGTGAAATGGCTGCCTCAGCATTAATTTAACAGTGAAATTCACTGCAGCTCTAAACATTTCCTTCAAACAGTTGCTTGGCTTGAGTGACAAAAGGGCCTGTCTCATCTTCACTGAAAGTGTGAAAAATTGTGTTGTTTCCATGGCCTATGCAAATAGGACAGGCCTGCTAAAACCCTCAAACAGGCCTGTTTGCACCGTGCCCAGCAAAAGCTCGTGCTGCACGGGAAAAATACAAACAAACCAGTTTCTCTTTACTCCCCCAGCACCTCTGGTCCCCTCGTGGCCTGTTCTTTGGCATTTGCAGCCCCAAATTCACTAATGAATCAAGCAAATGCCTCTCTGTGTCCTGCACAAAGCACAACAGAACAAAGCAGCTCAGCACCCCAGGGATTTCCGAGTGCGGGTCTCTGGCCCTTGTAGCAGCCGGGCACTGAATTAAGTCAGGCAGTTAGTGCAGAGCCGTCTGTAGAGGCCGAGTGTGCAGAACGGAATGGTGGGGAACTGGGAGAAAAGCCAACCTGAGGATGCAAATGCAAGCCAGACACTAAGAAGGGTGTCTGTGCTCTGCCTTAGGAAACCACCACAGAGAGTTTGAGGATTTATTTTTTTCCCCAGAAGAGAAAACATACAGAAAGAGGAAGAAATGAAGAAGCATCACTGGAAATGAAATGCCTAGGAGCATGGACTGAGGCAACCTTAAGGTTAGTGTGTTTTATGCTATTTATTCACATTACATTCTCCCTTTATTAAATCTCCCTGGCAACTTTACACTCCATCAATTTTTAATTGTAACTGATGTGACATACATGTTGTCAGAGTCTCACTGCTGCTGGGAACTTCCCGTCCAGCCATAACCCCGTTCTACTCAAAGCTCTCCACTGAAGTGTTCATCTTTCCCACCATCACCCTTTAGACATGACCCACTGCCTCCTTCATTTCCACCCTGTTTTCATTGCTGGGATACTGTTCTGCACGAGCAAACTGTTAAATGAACTGGAGTGTGTAAAAGGTTTTCCAAGTTGACACTTGGGAGGGACAGCACGCAACAATCTGTTTTACATGGAAAACAACCTAGAGGTCTGAAATAGCCATGTGCACTGCTATGAGACATCCTGGATAATTAAGCAGATAAGACTGAGTGTTTTGCATGGCAACAGACAAATGGTGGTGTGCTGCTGCCACAGAACGACTGCTCCAAGGTCATATCCTCTCTGATTTGCCAGCACTGCTGTGAGGGAGAAGGAAATGGTTTGCCTGAGCTGATCAAGCAGAAAAAAAAAATAACAAAGGAAACAGCATCTCTAGGAGGCACCAGCTGGAGGAGATGGAACACAGGATGAAGTATCAGTTTACTCATGCTGTCTGTTCCCAAGGCAGAGGCCAGTTTTGCTGACACATGTGCCCACTTCAATGTGGAGTCTCAGGACTAAACAAAAAGCTGTTGCACTCAAAACATGTGGCTGTGCTTGCCACATGAAGCGCAGAATTCAAAGAGCAAAAGGGCCAGCCTCCCAAGGGCCAAAGACGGATTGCAAGGTAACAACAGAAAGAAAAAAAACATACAAATATAGTTCAAAATGAGAGGAGCTGATGCTCACAAGTGAATTAAGTCTTGTGTTTCCTCCTATCATAGAGTCACAGGTTGAAAAAGACCTCTAAGAGCATCAAGTCCAACCGTCAACCCAACACACCACCATGCCTACTAAACCATACCCCAAAGTGCCACATCTACATGTTTTTTAAACACCTCCAGGGATGGTGACTCCACCACTTCCCTAGGCAGCCTGTTCCAATGCCTGACCGCTCTTTCAGTAAAGAAATTTTTCCTAATATCTCATCTAAACCTCCCCTGATGCAACCTGAGGCCATTGCCTCTCGTCCTACCGCTAGTTACCTGGGAGAAGAGACCATCTCTGGACACGCTCCAGCCCCTCAATGTCCTCCTTGTAGCGAGGGGCCCAAAACTGAACACAGCACTTAAGGTGCGGCCTCACCAGTGCCAAGTACGGGGGCACCATCACCTCCCTACTCCTGCTGGCCACACTATTCCTGATACAAGCCAGGATGCTGCTGGCCTTCTTGGCCACCTGGGCACACCGCTGGCTCACGTTCAGCCAGCTGTCAACCAAAACCCAAAGATCCTTTTCCACCAGGCAGCTTTCCAGCCACTCCTCCCCAAGCCTGTAGCATTGCATGGGGTTGTTGTGACCAAAGTGCAGGACCTGGCATTTGGCCTTGTTGAACCTCATATAGTTGGCCTCAGCCCATCAATCCAGTCTGTCCAGATCCCTCTGCAGAGCCTTCCTACCCTCAAGCAGATCGACACTCCCACCCAACTTGGTGTCATCTGCAAACTTACTGAGGGAGCACTTAATCCCCTCATCCAGATCATTGATAAAGATGTTAAAGAAGACCGGACCCAAAACTGAGCCCTGGGGAACACCACTCATGACCAGCCGCCAGCTGGATTTAACTCCATTCACCACCACAAGCATCCTATAAGAGGATGTCCATTTCTCCCTCCCCTAAGCCCCCCAGTAATTTCAGTTTCACAGGGTACCCAGGAATGGCACCTTCTCCATGTATTTCTCACACCTGTGATGGAACAGAAGCCCCCAACCACATGTGCCAGCGAGTTAACCACTGCACATCCAGTGCTGCCATTCCCAGTAGGTCTGATGAGGACTTCACTTCTACATTTATAGGAGGTTCCCCCATAATAAAGCCTCGTGGTTTTATTTTTCAGGGATAAACCTTGCAGGCAGGCAAGAAACAAAGCTCTTGCGTGTGGCTATAAAAACAGGTAAATAAAATATTCCATAGGAAAAGAAAATATGAGCAATGGGAGCTATTAAAATTGCTGCCCATTCCTGGAAGCTGCTGACCACATGGACCAATTTCCAGTCTTCCTTCCTCCAGAGCCATTATGTAACGGAGAGATTTAATAAACATTTCACAGCCAAAACAGCCCTCGTCCCCCTGATGAATTGTCTTCATCACTGCAGCTCAAGAGAATTTGGTGAGTCAGAAGTCCCATTAGTGGGAAGCTGCAGAATTACAATAATACATGGCTTAACAATACACTGCAATTTAGCCAACACAGAATTTTCCGTTTTTATCACGCGGAGGATGCAGACACAAATCCTGATGTTCCCAGAGGTTTGAAGCAAAAGGAATTTTGGAAAAAAGCCTCATCCAACTTCACAGACTTTGTCTTTACACAGGACAGACGTTGGCTGACTAATGACAACACACCACCACCACAGAAAGCCCCAGATACACTAGCAACTCTGAAGTAAACAAAACTTAATGTAAAAGCACCTGGGAGAACCCTGAAGGAACACGACTATAAAACCAGCGACTGGAAAAGATGCTGACAGCATTAATACAGCTAACCTTGATCCACAGGTTGTAATTTGATTTTGTTGTTGCATTATTACAATTACTTAATAGAGAAATGGCATTTGTTTTAAAATTAAAACTAAAACAAAAATAATAAACTTTAGTAATTCTTATCAACCCCAAATCTTACCAGACTCTCTTATGACTTCTCTTTGCAGTTATTCAACGGCGTTAAAAAGTTGTGTGATGGGACAGAAATCACTGAGAATTAAGAGGATGTTCTGAGAATTCACCAAGTTTCTTTATAAATTGCAAGGGGCACTAACTGAAAGCAAGAGAACGTTTACTTTTGCATTTGTCTTTTATGATACAACAGAATGCAACTTTTGCATATTAATCAAAAACGTTTTTATTGGTTATGGAGTTTTTTGGTGTGGGGTTTTGTGTGTGTGTGGTTTATTTTGTTTGTGTGTGGGTTTTTTTCGGTGGGTTTTTTTTTCTTCCACTTTCCACCGTTTAGGTTTCTCTAAAAGAAGCAGGAAGCAATTAATATTCAAGTGTATTCAAGGGTCACCAAAGAGTATTTTTACTTATTAAGTATAAAAAATGTTTTAACAGAATGTACAAGTGCTGTGCCTAAAAATGCCTACTCTTGTAAAAACAAAATTGTCACAAATTTGAAATACTTTATTCTTTTTTTTAATCATTCTGTGTAAACTATTTGAAGAATTTAGAGGGTCAGTGACTTCAGGGTTCTCCAATATGAGCACGCAAATCTCCAGGGCATTTCAAGCCTGAAAACTTGCTCTTTTGTAGTTGCTCAGCTCCATGGAAAATAAGCTTTTGTTAGCAGAAAGGACATACAGATTCCTGCTTAGCCTGACAGACATACAGAGGCGGCACCCACCCTGAACTACCATTTTTGATTTGTGCACAAGGTTTTTGCCCAACACCCACTACGCGTTTGGTGGCAAAAGCTTTCCCTGAAAATGGCACAGCAGCCTCAGGGCTGCAAAGAGGGAGGGAAAACGAACAGATCTAATGAAACTCATTTAGCCAAGGAACCTTCTAGAGTAAAGGTGAGAGATGGTCCTGCAGGTTGCCCTCCAGCAGAGCTGTTCCTGAAATCCCACAAATGGCCTCAGCCTGAGTGACCATCACTCAAATGCTGGGGAAAGCTGTCATCCACGGAGTGATGAAGAGTCAAAGGTCAATGGAGAACTGGTGGTATTTTTCAGTGTGCCAGAAAGAAAAAAGGGTATCTGGGCAGGGTCTCTTCTCTGTACCGAAGCCAGTCCAACACAAAGAACGTGTCCTTAGAGCAAGCATTTAAACACCCCCCAAAGCTGTGCGCAGACAGTTCAACTAACTGGAAGAAGAGGAGGGACATATGTTCTCCATGCTGTCATCCACCGAGTGGCCCGATTTCTCCTGCATGGAGCTTTAGCGCTTCATCACACAGCAGCTCCCCGAGAGCAGCATCTGCTGGCAATCATCTCATCACCTCCCCCACTGTATTACAAGTTTGTGACAGAGTGTCCCATGCTGACTCTCAGGGGTGGAAATCTCTCTCACATGCAGCCTGTTGCCATGGACACTGTACTCTGGACATGGCAGTTATGAGGACAAGAAGCCTGTCCTCAGGGCCTTGCTATCACATCGATCAGCACGTACATAGGGCAGCACTTCTTCACGTGGCTTACAGAGGGGACACTATATTCATTGCTTCCTCCTTTGTCACCAACGGAGCATCCTCAACAGCGCACATGGCTCAGTGACTACGCAGCTCCTATATACTGTGCTAGAACTTTTGAAGTTAACAGGCAAATCAGAGACTACGTTTTCATGAAAAAGCATCTACTCCATCAGGGCAGTGAAGCAGGCACAGGGGACAAGGCAAGAGGGGAAAAGCTGCCGACTTCCCACCTGTGAATCACACTGTATCCCTCACTGTTTAGAGAAAAATCTCCAATGCTGAGACAGTCAGACGGCAGGAAAAAACCCTCCCTGGTGCACTCCAGGATTCAAAAGTCACCTGGATCTGTCCTTTCCCCATTATGCGATCTGTGCTCTCTCCATCCTCTTTGGTGAGCTTGGTTTTGTTGTAGCACTTCTCATAGCACAGAATCCGCAGAGTTTGTGAGCCTTCCAGCTCAATCTCGAACTCCTGCAGGGCACCAGGAAAGGAAAGAGCAATGAACACGTCACAGCGGGACACTGGTCTCTTAATAATCAATGCAGTCTCCTTGAACCTCATCAGGAGGGAGCACTTAAGGACTGACCAAAATCTCCTCCCTAATGGAGGTGGTCCAGAAATAAACTGAAATTGCACTTTGTATATATCAGGTAGTCACATCAGAGACTAAGGTGGTTGACTCCTTAGTCAGGTTTTACGAGTTTCAGCAAAGCATCATTCAAAGAAACAAACTCACCCACCTTCCTTGTATTTAATTTTTCTCCCCAGCAGGTTTGAGTTGACTGTAAACAGGCAAAAAGTCTATAGCTAATTCTTCCCCCTCACAACAAATAAACAAAACCACCTCCTTCTTCAACATATTTTCACTCGTGTCTTTAAAAAAAAAAAAATTCAAACATCCATCTGTTTAAATGATGAAACACTGGAGGAGACTCGTTTGTACCAAAATGTTTATTTAGTCATAACTAATCCAAGAGAAAATCTTCTGCAAGCCCTGACAGCCAAATGAACCTGGAATAAATGTGTTTTCTGAGAGGCAGCACATGCAGCACAAGTGCTGAGCACGCAGCAGGTTCCTCCATTTGCAGGTTTACGCCCATCACGCAGTGACATTCAGTACACAGAACAAGTCACATTAAGAAAAATCCAACCTACCTCATTCCAGTTGGGCTCCATGGTGTCTCTGTAAACTCTAGTTTTAGCCTTGTTCACAAAATACCCAAAAGAATCCACCTCCAATGTGCAGTACAAATCTGAGGAGGGGAGACAGGGACAGAAACTTTTTACAAATTTTTTGCATTGATCACTTTCAAGGTATGTCTTCATTTGTATCTTCTCTGTATACCAGTGTGTACCAGTAACACTACCCAGCACAAGTCTCATCACCTGGACCAGGAAAGGTGCCTTCATGAAGCTGAAGTGCCAGCACATCTGTATAAATGACCTCAGCACAGACACATCTATCAAGAGTCAGCTGTATGCTACTATCCAATATTTCCCAAATCGATCCACATTGAGCAGAAGTTGTACACCAGTGAGAAATGAAGCTTCCCAGTGTAGATACTGGACCCCATCAACACATCCGAACCAACTTCACCGAGAACGGCACCCATATAATATCCCTGAGGGCACGTTAGGGGCCAGCCATCAGGAACCCATCATCTTCACAAAGTGGTCAATATCTGGTATCCGGTGGTTTTGAAGGGCTAGCAATGAGCTGTAGACATTGCCCAGGTTTGTAAGTCATGTTGCAAGTGATGTCAGCCAGCACCTTGGAAGGCAGGGGCTCAGCACAGAAGGCTAACAGAAAGCGTCTACGTCTGGGTCACTCCTTTCCTCCCAAGACCGCACACGCAGCTTCGCTCGGAACAGGATCCCCAGCCACACAGTTAGGTAAGATTTGCAGCTTTTCCTAGATTATCCTCATCAGTGGCTGAGAAGCATCTTTATTTCTACCGGTTTCTTCTCCACTCTATTTTTTCACCTTTTTTGATCCTTCTGTCAAATCACTCCCCTGAATTTTAACACCTCTTTCTTCACACCAAAAATTTTGGATGTCAGAGAATGCTTCTCATTCTTTCATTGCAAAACAAAATACAGTGGAAAGAATTCAGGGTAAAGGCTGACTTGCATCTAAAACTGTTGGGTGACTAGCAAACACTGCTTAAAAAAAACCCACAACAGACTAGGCCTAAAAAATAATGATGCATGCTTGATCCTTGATCCCAGTATCTCTCCGAGAGTTAATAGTAGCATTAAAAAATTGCATTCCCCTAAAATGTACACCAATGCCCCAATTTCACTTCAAGTTCCCCAGATCACCTCTCCTCATCATCATCCCAGATGCTGCAATCCTGAACCGTGCCCAGCCGCACAGCACCTGGATTACCCAACGCCTGTCAACACCTCTGGGTATTACAGAACTGCAACTCACTTGAACTTTGCTTGAATCCTGTGGCAGAGTGGACAATGACATTCAGGAATCCATAGAGGCCTGGGGATTCATCATCTGTACAAAAGACCCAAGGAATTTTGTTACGTTCAGAGGAGCCAAGAGAGAAAGACAAAGTGACGAGACGGATATTATGCAGGTTGATGAGCAGAGAGCAAACTGTCCCTAAAAAGGATGGCAGGAGCACGTAATCTAGCCATTTCCAAAAGAGACTGCTCCAGGTTCAGTGTCGGTTTCACCTGTAACACCTTCTGGCAGTGTGTGGCTTTTACAACACCATTTCTAGGGTCAGCAAGAACACAGAAGAAATTCAAAGGAGAAAAAGTAAAATACAGAGGCTAAGTCTATACCAGCAGATTACACAGGATGGTCTCTGACACAATTTTGGCCAATTCCAAAGGATTCCCAGCCATAGTTCAAAAGTTGTCTCAGGCTAGAACTCCAACAGGCACTCCAGTCCCTGGCACGATGGCTGCACATAAAGACCATTTAATAGTCAATGAATATATATTGGAGGATGTCCAGGAATATTTTACTAATTTAGCTGTAACCATATAACTTGGAGCTTGTATTTTTATTGTTGCTGCAAATAACATTGGGATGACCAATTGCTCTTGTTCCTGCTGCTCTCGTTTTGTATGCTATCATCTAATTCAATTAAACCACATAAGTTGGGTACATATGGTGTCGGCTTTTGTTTTACAGGAACTCCCAGTATCTAACTCAGCACCAGGTTGAAGCCTGTAGCAAGAAGAAACAATAAGAGCAGTTCTAGGCGAAATGCATAAAGGCAGGCAGAGGCAGGTTTTCACTGCAGCTGCACCACGTGAAAGCATCAACCAAACGTCTCACCTTCCTTATTGATAGTGAGGGGAATGTTGTGGACTGTCTGAAGCTTCACACAGGAGTTTGTCAGCATCTGGAGCTCCACCGATGTGAGTGAGAAGCTTTTAAAGCCTGCCAAGGAGATTCAGAGAGGGAGGAATTAAAATTCAAAGCAGAAGCTGCATGCATGCTCCCTCATTCCGGGCATACATGAGATAGCTGTTCCCTGGGCAATGCTCAGCAACAGTACCGTGGTGCTCAGGTCTGTGCTGCTGCTGCAGCCCCTCTCTGTTGAGGGTATACTTACTTACTTTTTGGGGTAAAAAGTCTCAGGATGGTTCACAGGAAACAAGAGGGGCTCTTGTTTTCTTGCAAAGTGAAAAAATACCCATGTCAAAAAAGTAAATAATTTTCTTTGGACTGGAACCAGGTAAAAGGGTGCAGCTGTTCCCTCTACCTGGCACTGCGCAGAGATCTGAGCTCTACAGAATACGGGAGAATCTCTCCACACACTTACGGAGCGCTCTCCCTACACATTCCCTACATGTTGCTGCAAGAAAAAGTCCCCCAGACAGGCTCAGATGCTCAAAGACAGAAGACACCCATGTTGTGCTGTGGATTTCAACACACATCCCCCTTCTTGCAGGGAACCCTCCCTGCCCCACACCCCATCCTCTGGACTCTCACTCTCCAATAAGACCACAATATTTGTACCAATGCCTAGCCGAGGGACACTCACATTTCTTCTGCTGCTCCCGGATGTTCTCCCTCCACTCTGCCCTTTCATAGTCTGAAGAAATGAGAAACGTGTAACTCTACCAAGGAAAACAGAAGGAAATAGGGTATGGATTAGTCTGACCGACCACTGAGAGCAGGCCTGCCTGCCTCCCACCTCCTCCAGTGGAAACAGTTGGATCTACTGCCCTTCTAACACACTGCCCTTTTAGAAATGCTGCCAGGTGCCCCACATCACGGCTTTGCCAGTGACAGGCAGGACTCTGGCAATGTGCCTTCTCAGCAATGTGTCAGTGGTACCAACACAGACTCCTGCAGTCAGAGCTCTCGCAGAGCTCCACGCTGCGAATGGCAGCATGAGGTCCCATGGCAGCTCTGTGCTGCTCCTCACAACAGTGGCACCAGGAAACCCCAAAGCCTCTACCATAGGCTGGTGCAAGCTGAGGAAGCAGTGCCCAGCTTGTGGATTTTCACTGAGCACTAACAGGAGCTCGTGAGAATCCTGTGCCACGTGCCTGGAAAGACGGCAGCAACAGGTCACAGCACTGCCAGAGCAGGGGATACCTCTGGCACACCGAGCATCCCACAGCACCGGAGGAGATTGCTGACAACCATTCAGCATCCCTGGTACCAAGTGCTGTCCTGGGGAGACAGCCCTGAGTCCACCAAGCCTTGGACCTAAAGGGGAGTCTAAAAGGCAGCTGCTGCAGAGTTTTATCTTGGGTGAAGAAAGCTGCTCCTATTGCTCTGCCAGGGCAGGTACTAAGGTAGGGGATTAACTTCTAATGTTATTTTTCAAATGTCAATGTTGCATACAAATTAGTCCTAGCCTTACCAGATGTCACCATAACCTTTGGTGTAGCAAGGTTAGGTGTCTGCTCCTTGGAAAGTGCTTTCAGGCCAGACAGTAGAGGGCATGAAGATCTCCTTGTACAACAGTGTACACAAGCACACACACCTGCCTTGACCTCGGTCTTGTACACCGAGGGAGACCAGAAAAGCCACTCACCTTGCCATTGCGATTGTGTACCCGGAAAGCCATGTTGGGAGACATCAGCAGTAGGAGGGATTCCTGCTCCGAGAGCTTCTTTTTCAACCTCTCAATGACCTTGCTGCCCTTATTGGCCCTCTGAAGGGTGGCGGAGAGAGGGAGGCAGAGGACACGTGTTATTCTCCAATGTTTGTCCCCATCTACACTAACAGACATTTTAAGTTCCACAGTCCCCTCCCTCTGTGAGTAGCCAAATGGCCTCAGGCAGGAGTAATGCTGTCAACAGGACCCACGGGGCTCCCAGCTGCTCAGGAAGATGTTACCTGCAGGATCTCTGCACCCAGACTTGGCTGTTCCCCAATTCTATCTGCCCCAGGCGAAGGCACAGAGGTGCATGGCCACTGTCCCAGCTATACCCCATACTTTCTGCTCCAGAGGCTGCAGCAGCATCATGTCACTGGTCAGCCATAGTCCTGCCAGTTAAGGATACTTGTGGAGGACCTAAGGAGACTGTAAGGAACTTCTCTAGAAGCTGTCCAGAACTCTGTCGCCAAAATTCTCTCCCACCTACCATCAATCTGTTTTCAACAGAGGTCAGCTAAAACCAAGGTTTTTCTTGGATAAAACGCAATCCCAAACCCAATCACATAACATGTCTGGCACTGATGCACTGCAGCGCATATCTCAGATGCCTGCACCTTGTGAGTAGGACGCTTCCAGACAGTGCTCCTCCTAATATCTTACTTTTTCCAGGAAGCCCTCTCTGAAAGCCAGTCAGGGCAGACAGGCAGAAGCATGTTCTTTGGAAGTGTGGGGTATAGTCTTCTCACAATACAAGGAATGTTATTGATATTCTGTTCTACACACCAGCAGGCTTTCTGTTTTCAAACTCTAATTTCTGTTTTGGGTTCCAGGAAGGTTTGGAGTCTAACACCTCCGAGAAAACATGTCTTACAAGCAAAGAAAAGCCTGGGCCAGACACACCACATCTGTGTCAGACTGTTCAGTCAGTATAATTGGTGTTCTCCTTATATTTGCTGATGTTTTGACACTGGTGAAGTCAGAAAAAGCTTCAGAAGCATAACTGAGCCTGCAAAAATTCAGAAGTACATGGCTTCTGACCAAAATCACTTGCAGAATTATACTTTAACAGCCAGAAATTGGCATGCCACACTCCCAGTCCTTCTCTTGTCCACAGTGTTAGAGTCCCACTCTCCACACGGATGCTCGGGGATAGCAGTCACAGGAGGTCCCATGCAAGTAGCAGAGCTACTGGATACAACTATAGGGTCTTTTTATTTCTGCCTTCTCACAGGACACCATCATTCAAACTGTGCACTGGG